TGGTGCGTTTGGGGGGCGCATTGTGGAACCTGACCTTGGGGCAGCAGGGAGAGTAAATCCGGCCCTGGTGACAGGTTAGCTTTCAAACTGCTGTGCTATGCCCATGTGATGAATATGACCTTATAGTGTTTTTTAATGTTATACTTTTATCACAGTTACACTACAAGAATCAGACTGTTCAGGAACTGCAGCAGTTATGGAGGGAATATATATCCCCGGGCACACAGACAAGTGCCGTCCTACCACAAGAGGCAATGGATCCTGTGCCGGTCATATCCTACCTCCTAGAACAAAATGACTCGGAGGCTAAAGAGGAGGCCAGTCTAAAATGGAACTTGTCAGTTGTACATCTAAAACAGGTGAAAAGTCATTTACCAAAGCCAGTGATATCTGTGAAACAAGTCAAGGCAACTGGACTTGCCGTATTTTTCTTGAAGACGTTTCACTGGTCATCCGACCAGCTTTCTCAATTCTCACTGGATGACCAGTGAAACATCTTCAAGAAAAATACGGCAAGTCCAGTTGCCTTGACTTATTGTTTACAGATATACTATGACCTGGATGAATGAGAACCTTCACAGACAAGAGCCAGTGATGATCCTTCATGAAAAGTTGCAGGAAAGGAAATTTGAGAGTGTTGTCTGTTGCAAAAAAAGAAATGGCAAAAAAGGGGGCATGCCTTTTTATTCTGACCTCCATTATTTAAAGTGACACTGTTCCTAAACTAAAAAGATTCAACGACATGCAGCCTGTAAAAAAAAAAAAAAAGAATAATACTTTACTGCTGAGCAGGGAAACTAATCACAGTAGTGACGTAGCAGCCAGCAGGAGGGACCACAGTATGCAGGGGGGGGATTTCGCTACTGCCCCCAATTTGCCTTTTCAGTTTGGCAACACGGTTTTTTTAATACATATATTATCAGAATGCAAAAATTCACATTTTAGGGATTTTGAGAATTTATTTTTTATTTTTTTAAATAATATCTTATTTTATTCCTGGACATGTATTTTTTATACATTGATTATTGTAAAGCCACCATAGCACCAAAAAGATGGAGGCTGCGGGAAGAAAAGGGGGCAGCTCTTGCCATAAGGTGCGAGTATGCGTAGCATGCTTCCTGGTTGAATGACACCCAGCGTCATTCAACCCCTTTTGTGACCCCGCTGTCATCGACACACACCCTCTCAGTGCTGAAGCACTAAACATTGTTCACAAGACTTTATGTGAGTGTTTCCATTGCTGAATTAAAGAATAGGAAGGACTTGGGATGTCACTAGACCAGCAAGATGACAGTTCGCATTAAGGTATAAACACTCCTCATTAATCTGACCTTCCTCTTCTTTCCTGTCCTTTTCAACTGTCCCTCCAGCGCTGCGGCGGGTCTCCGATCCAGCGCTGACTCCTCTGAGCTTGCTGGCACTTCCTGTCCCACGGTGTCTGCATGCGTGTGCACGCGTCCATAGACTTACCTTGTGCCTCTCCTCGCGTCCCGGCCGAAATGCGCATGCTCCCGCCCCAAGATGCTTTGCGGCCGCCCGAGAAGTTTCACATTTTCGGACGGGAGCCGCGGGGAAGACACAAGTAAGTGGTTGTAAGCGGAGTCCTTCACAGCCTTTTGTTTTAAGGCGCTCAGGAACCAGGACGTTAGATGCCTTTGTTCCACAGAGTGGATGTGGTATCAGAAAGGGGTTGTCTACCGCCAGATCCACACTGCTAATATAAAAGGAAACCACATTTAGGAATTGAGTGCCCCCTCTGAGGAAATCCAGGGGCAGACGAAACATGTCAGGCGACTTTGTGGCGGGATAGCTGACGGGGCCCGCTGCATGTGCTATAACTTGGGGTATCGGAATGCCATAATTGTTGGCAAAGCCCAGGCACTTTTTTGGAATACCAGACATTTACAAAACCAATAGATCCATATCAACTAGACTTTTCCTGAATATACATATACTGAGCGTCACAGTATTACCGGATGTATGCCAGAATTTACCATTGTGATTTGTGGATATGAAATATTGGCAGAAGTACTACTATCTTACATCCCTATCTGGTTTAATTTGAGATCCCGAGTAGACTGTGAAGTTGGATGTTTTTTGGAATATTACATATTTGGTCCCCGGGCTACCATCACACAGTCCATTTATACATGGAACGAAAAGATATGGACTTTATGGACTTTAAAGTGACATTAAAGTCAAAAACTTTTTTCCCTCCCCCCAATGTTAATTAAAGTACTTACCTTAAATCATGTCTCTTAATCCGATCTTCCTCTTCTTTTCTGTCCTTTTCCAGCCTTCTCTCCAGCTCTTTGGCGGGTCTCCGATCCAGCGCTGACTCCTCTGTCCTTGCTGGCACTTCCTGTCCCACGGTGTCTGCATGCGGGTGCACGCCTCCATAGACTTACCTTGTGTCTCACCTCGTCTCCCGGCCGAAAATCTGAACTGCACATGCGCCCGCCCCAAGATGCTTTGCGGCCGCCCGAGCATTTTCGGATTTTTGGACGGGAGCGCACGCCGAAGACAGGGGTAAGTTTAAACCGCTTTTAAAGCAGTTTTGTTTTTAAAACACTTTTTGCATATATCTACTGCTTGCTAGCAACAGATATATGCAAAAAAACGGAGGGTTTAATAACCCTTCAAGTCTAGGGGTAGACGAATAAGCTGTGATACTTACCTTATTCCTCACTTTGTGTCTGGTGGTATTGTTATGGCCTAATGTTGTGATGTTTTTTCCTCAATGTCAGGCTTCAGATGTGATCCTTGAGGATGAACGACAAGAGACCTTCCTTTTCCATGTAAACAGACTCGTCAGTGAACTGACCACACCGGCTCTGGAGTCTTCTGTGGACATGTTGCAGCAAGCCTGGTCAGTGGTAAATGATTGCTTGTGAGGGCTCTGAGATTTTGTTCTGCCTGTATATCATTATTCAAGAAGCAACGTGCATATATAGTATAAGTTAAAGAAGAACTCTGGGTAAAAAAACAACTTACCCTTGCAGTGGTCAGTGCTCACCCACCTCATTCCCTCTCCACTCCGGCTAGGGAATGTCCCTCAGGGTCCTTAAATCTAATGCAGATCAATAGATGTCAGTGGTCCTTAGACTGCCGGAGCCCAGGGGAGAAGAAGATGCGGACACCAGTCTAGCAGGTCAGAGGAAGCAATACAGCTTTATTGAGACCTAGACAACACGAGCACTTAACCATTGCAGTGGCGGTGGATTGGTGACCCCCACTGCAAGGGAAAGTTTGTCCAGGGTTCTACTTTAAAGAAGAGCTCCGCTATGCACTGTACTCCTTAACTGGTTGCTTAACCTAATGTGTGTGAAACCACTTCCACTTTTTAGTATTGGATCTAACAGGAAAGGATTAGTGTGCTCACTAAAATGTGTGTTACTACAATGCACGCTAAGGCACGAAGCACTCTGTGGTGCAGGAGTGGTTTCTGCTGCATTAGGACCTATTCAAAATGATTTAAAATGTTTTTAAAATGTAATAAGTGGTTTTCTTATGTCAGCCTGTATATTTTTACACCTCTGTCTTCAGTCTTCAGCTATGGAGGGATGCCATAGATAAACTAGTGGAACGGTCCATGGAGCTACGATTTGTACTGGGCATGCCAGACAAGGATGTGACAACAGAATTTGTAATAGAAGAAACAGGTAATATCTTCGAATTGTATCCAGGATGTATGAACACACTGAATGAAATAAAGTATATACAACCGCAGTGCAGAGCTTATCAATCAGTTTAGCAAAACACCCCTCGTGGGCAGCCAACTTCTGCCATTAAAGGGCAGCCAGAAGTTGGCTGCCCTTTAAGGAGATCAAAACCCCTCTTTCTACACTGACCTGCAATGTAAGGTGGCACTTCTACACTTACTGTGAGGGGTCACTTCTACACTGACTGACAATGTAAGGTGGCACTTCTACACTGACCGGCAATGTAAGAGGTCACTTCTACACTGACTGGCAATGTATGGTGGCACTTCTACACTGGCCATCAATGTGAGAGGTCACTTCTACACTGACCGGCAATGTAAGGTGGCACGTCTACACTGGCCATCAATGTGAGAGGTCACTTCAACACTGGCCAGCAATGTAAGGGTCACTTCTACACTGACTGGAAATGTAAGGTGGCACTTCTACACTGGCCATCAATGTGAGAGGTCACTTCTACACTGGCCAGCAATGTAAGGGTCACTTCTACACTGACTGGCAATGTAAGGTGGCACTTCTACACTGGCCATCAATGTGAGAGGTCACTTCAACACTGGCCAGCAATGTAAGAGGTCACTTCTACACTCACTGGCAATGTAAGGTGGCACTTCTAGGCTAACTGACAATGTGAGAGGTCACTCACATTGTAAGGTAGCAATTCTACACTGACCGGCAATGTAAGAGGTCACTTCTACACTGACCGGCAATGTAAGAGGTCACTTCTACACTGACCGGCAATGTGAGAGGTCACTTCCACACTAACTGACATTGTACAGTGACTCTTCTCCACTGGCTATTAGTGTAAGGATACACAACTCTTTTCACACTCTATGTTTCTGGCTACTATTATTACTATTATTTTTATAATTATTTTCTTAAAATAAGTTTTGTCATGTAGAGCAAGGGGGTGTCATAAATTAATCCACACTTGGTGTCAAATTCTCTAGGTACAGCACATTATTTATTTTTGTATTACTGCATCTACAATTTACTAATTGTTAATATTCCATGAAGTAATCCCCCTCCTTAGTTTTGATTAAAGTGTTAAAACCACTGTTTTTGCTGTCGACGTATATCCCATTGAGTAAATTTACCTTCACTTCCTGTCCCAGAGACAGCAAAAAGTGAGAGAAAATCTTTTTAAAGTATCCCCTAGTAGACCGTTGTCACCAGAACAGGTGTCCCCATTGAAAGGTATCCCCTCACCTCCTGTTCCGATGGCAACTGCAGAACTTTGATTTCCCCGTCACTCTCTGTTCTGGTGAGAATGATCACCAGGAAACATAGAGAGGGTGAAGCTTCCCAATGGGTGCCTAGACAACAAAAGCTGACCAAGGTTTCATCACTTCCACGCTCTATACAAAATGGAAAAAAAAAACGGCTTTTACTTTAATGAGAACAATGTTATTCAAGGAAAATGAGTAAGTCAAAACTTTTCCAGGCCACCACCTCAGAAGAGGAATCAGAGGCTTCACATGACCAATGTGAGCTACATTAGTCACCATAGGATCTTCCCTGTAATTGAAGGTGAATCCCTTGAAGGGACTTACGCAATATGCTCTTGAATTGCCTTTATATAAGTGATTGTCATGTTTCAAGCAAAAGAAAAAATCATATTTCCTGTATTATAATATTCTTCATCTTGTTTTAGTGGTGGATCTGAAGCACGGGAAGGCAGGGAAAGATGAGAAGAGAACAGGAGGGATGAAAGACGATAAAAAAACACCCAAAGGAAGGGACAGAGAGGAGAAAAAAGGTGGAAAGCATGGAGGAAAGGATCGATTGGAAAAGGAGGTATATGGTTACATTATTGGTGAATACAGCTTCAAATTCATGTATACAAATGTTTGGATCCACAAGTAGAACACAAAGAGACGGTATAACCTGGTGGGCCAATAGGACCTTCAGGACCTCCACTGAACCCCTATGAGGCACAGTAGAGCCTTCTTAAAGCACAAAGTGTCCTCATGTCTTACTTCTAATACAATTCCCAAACACAAGGGTTTATTTCTTCTTTAGCCACTGCTTTTAACTTTCCATGTCATACAAGGACCTATCCAGGCACTGTGTTCAAATTATAACCAATCAGGTGAGCACTATGTAGTTGTTCGATGTGAGCAAGATTGTTCCATCAGATTCTAACACTGACAGGTCCAGTCCTGCCATTCAATGGTTAAATGCCACATCAGTGGATAGCAGAGACTCTGGCATTTGGCAGTAGAATGACTGGGCTTAGTGCCAGGAAGTTGTGAGCCTTATTGCCAACTTCAGTGGTAGCTGAATGTCCATGTACAGCCTGGTCTTCCGATCTATGGAGGTTCCACAGGGACATGGATGGTTTCTAAGACAAGTAGTTGCAGGCACCATTAGGTCACTGCACTTCAGCACAGCTGTTACATTTGAAATGTTTTAAGCCAGGTCATGTTCACTTCAGGGCCCCCAATGTGACGACCGAATATTGTAATTACCTAATTATGACTGCTATTTAAAAATCAAGGAAAGGTATACTGTAATATAAGCATTTATGTAATTGACGTGAATAGGCACATGTGATGCATCAGCAATTTTTGGCCCTTTTTTTGGCTGCAAAGTGGAGTGAATTTTAATTGAATGATTTTTTTTTTTTTTTAATCCAGGACCGTCCTAGCAGCAGGAAGTTGAAGGGCAAGGAAGACAAGAAATCCTCAAAGACGACAGCCCTCTCTGGAGAGAACAAGGAGCTGGTATCATCGGGAGACAGCCTGGACTTGTCTCCTCCACAGTCCCGTCTCTGCCAAGTGGATCCAATTATACAAGAGAAGTATCAGGAGAGCCTGTACACTGAGGTGTGTGAATAGATGTCTGTAGTCTTACAAGGGAAAATAGAATCCCAGGCTTATAGGAAATGCACCTTTTTTGTCCAGAACTGCATTCATCTGAAAATGGTAAATGTATTTTAAAGCTGAACTCCGACCTTCCCTTCAGTCTTGCACGGCTGTACTGGCTCCTCTCCTGGACTGAAATTGCTTACTGTGATTTCACTGCACTCTCTGGGCTTCTCACAATGTGCATTCGAGGCTGCAGCAAGTCAGATAGAGCCCACCTCATTTCCTGGCTGGAGGATGTCCAGAATCATCCAGCTATTTCCTCCCCCTGTGGATGTTACTTAGGGCTGTCTGCATGCAAATGCATCCTGCCTTGGATTGCCTGCTCCTCCAGACTGGCGTCCATCCATCATTATACTTTGATACACTTCTTACATTACAGCTGAGGGCTCTTGAGAGGAGTACTGAGATCTGGTATTGTGATGGTTTCAGGAAGCTATGTGCAGCACCATGTGGGCCTCTTCCACCAGCTATAACCAGCCTGCATTGCATAGAGAAGCACAAAGACCCGGCAATGATGTCACTGGGTCTAAAATAACATATGTACTGACAACAGAAAGGTTTTATTCAGCAGTTTCATTAGCATGTTAATAAGTGGGGAGGGAGGATCCAGGCAAGGTGAAAATAAGCAGATTAGATGTCAGCTGGTCCAGTGCAGTGATGTGCAGCGAGCGCATGTAGACAGAAGGAAAAAGGCCGCAGGGAATCAGCAGCACTGAGATGCAAAAAAAGGATGAAAAAACGTGAAAACTGTTTTAGGAACAAAATAGCGAATTTTTTTTAATGATATAATGAAACGGCTTTTATTTTCTGCTCGCACGCGCCCCCTAGAGTGTGTACCGCCAGAAAAACTCCGTCCGTTGTACACAGCCGGTAACTGCTGTTTCACATACAAGCGATCGGCGGCTCTATAGTTTGCGCAGCGCTTTACAAATTAGAGGAAGACATTACAGTTACAATACAATGCAAGGCAAGATGGTTAGAAGGCCTGTGAGATCGTACCTATTCCTTGTACGAGCATTACAGAAACAGGAAGTGAGACAAAAATCTCTCAAAGGGTACAGGTAAGAATTTTTAAAGCTGAACTCCAGGCAGATATAAATGACACCAATTAACGCAGCTATGTAATCATCAATAGATCATTAAATGTATTTTTTTAAGCATGAGCAGTGTTAGTACCTGTTTTGGCCTATTGCAGTCCCTGTACAGGAGGGCTGGAGAAAGAAGAAGCACCAGGAGCCAATCGGTTAATGTGCTGATAACAAGCATGCTAACAAAAGGACGTTGAACGTTGCTTGACTGATATGCTGAGATGGGCTGAGGACATCTAGTGGCAGAGAAAAGTAATGCAGAGGGAATGAATATCGCCGCAAAAAAGACTTTGGCCTGTAGTTAGATTTTAAATACATCCATGTTCCGATACTTTCTGGAAGCTTTTATTTTTTCCATGCATATTGAAACCATTTTGTCGTAAACCAAATAGTAACAATTTATTTGCAGTGTATCTTTATATGGAGGTGTCTGCAGAAAAGAGATCTTTCAGTTTCTGGAAGACATAGCTTTTAGAAAAGTCCTCTTGTTTTTCTGCGAGGCAACACTTTATCCCTTCATTAGCAGCAAGTGTCTGAGAGCGACTCCAGGCAGAGTCAGGACATGGAGGTATAAAAAGAATGTTCTTGGAAGGAGATCGTATAGATTATTAGACTTTAGGGAAGGCCAAGATGTGCTGGCCTCAGAAAGGAACCAGGGACTTGCTCTGTACATTGATTAGGCTTACAGTGTGTCCACAAAGAGTTCCTGTGGGAACTGTATTCTAGAAAGACAGTCCATACACCAGCAGCCTGGGCTGACGTCTCACATCCAGAGACTGGACTAATTGGACACCAGGGCCTGAGCACATGCCTGTGGCAGCTGTGAGCCCCATCTTAGCATTAGAGTATTGTGAGGGACTGTGTGTTAACTGTTTACATCACTCCTATTGGTTAGGTGTCTTTAAACCCTTTAAAGCAGATCTAAACCCTAATGGGATAACATTTTGTTTGTGTATCATAAACAATTGCCATGGTTTCCTAAAAAATAATAATACTGTTTTCCCCTTTTTCATACGTTGTTGCATCTCAGTGATCACTTCAGCCTCTTCCTGTCCACATGCACTCACTTCACATCAATGCTTTGGATTGGCTTCCTGATAGTCAACAGTGGTCCGTGCCTGCGCAATCTGTGTTGGCACGGCCATGTGTAGTCTTCATTGGGACATCACATGATAAGGTGACAACACAAGAACACAAATGGGTTGTCACCCTATAACAGGAAGTTCCAAAACAAGGACCTTCCTTCTCTCCTCTCCTTTCTCTTTCCTCTCCTTTCCTCTCCCTTCTCTTTCCTTTTCTCACTCCTCTCTTCTCCCTCTCCTCTCTCTTTATTTTCTCTTTTCTTTCCTTTCTTTTCTCTCTTCTATTCTCTCTCTTCTCCTTCCTCTCTTCTATTCTCTCTCTTCTCCTTCCTCTCTTCTATTCTCTCTCTTCTCCTTCCTCTCTTCTCTTTCCTCTGTTATCTTTATTCTCTTCTCTTTACTTTCCTCTCTTCTTCTTTCGCCTCTTTCCTTTTCTTTCCTCTCTTCTTCTTTCTCTTTCCTCCATTCCCCTTCCTCTCTTCTCTTCACTTTCCTCTCTTCTCTTTTCTCTCTTCTCCTTATGTGCTTCTCTTTCCTCTCTTCTCTTTTTTTCTCTTCTCTCCTTTTCTCTTCTATTTACTCTGTTATCTTCTCTTTTCCCTTTGTCTTCTCTTTTCTCTATTATCTTCTCTTTTCTTTATTGTCATCTTTTTTCTCTTCTGTCTTCTCTTCCCTTTGTCTTCTCTTTTCTCTATCGTCTTCTCTTTTGTCTTCTCTTTTCTCTCTTCCCTTTGTCTTCTCTTTTCTCTCTTCCCTTTTTTACTCGTATCCTTCTTTTCCATTAGGGCACAATCTTATTATTATACAGGATTTTTACAATCATACAATGATTTCTTTTTTTTTTCAATATCTATTTCAGCTTTATGGAATCCTGGTCTCTGTGGCACAAGATTTTGTGGCCATTGCTGAAGACCTAAAAAGCCATTCGACACCCAGCGGGAATCTGGACACATTAGAGAGCTTCCAGTACATCATTCCTCAATAGAGTTTCACATTCTTGTTTTTGGGAAAACTGTTGTATGTAATGTCGGTCCCCCAAAAACTGCTAATTTTGTTTTTACATCTTCTGGAAAATTTTGAAGGGAAAACCATACTAAGGCCATATGGACCTTGCCTCCTGAAAATACCTGATCCAATGGCTACTATGCTGATCCAATGGATTCAGTACTTCCTAAAGCTCTGTCCTGGAACAGGAACATAAGCAGAACAAATGACTTAAAGCTGAACTCCAGGCAAACAGATAAATACAGAGACCTAATACATATAGTGGAGCTGTTTTACCTACCATTACAGGTATAGATTGAGCAGTGAATATAGCTCTGCTTAGTCTGCCCTCTCCCTGCTTGACTCCCAGTTCCAACTCTCCATCTCCCAGTTTGAGTGCTGTTGCATAGGGGATATTCACCTTTCATCCAGAGATTTCGCCGGCAGTACTTTTTCCTGCAGCTAGATGTCCTCAAGCTCATGGCCAGCATGAATTAACCCACTTCTTCTGGGCCCAGTTGACTGGACAGTGAAAGGAGAAGCAGAACAGTGATGCGCTCATATGTCTGTCGTTGCCATGTACCTAGGTGAAGACCAAGCTGACCAAGGGGCTTCTCTTGCACCTCTTGTCCAGCACCCCTGAAAGTGCAGATAGGAGATGCGAGGACACAGAGTAGCACAAGGTGCGAAGTTGCAGGCAAGGCCGGTCTTCTGGTGTGTAAACCAGGATGAGTATAGATCACTGAGCAGAAACTAGATTCAGGGACACTTCAGAGCCCAAAGAGGCAGAAGTGTAGTCCCAAGGTCAGTAGAACCGGGCAGCGAGCCAGTAGGCAGAGTCAGACTACAAGCCAGAGGTCAGCATCGAGGTACCCAATCAGCAAGCAGACGCAGTGCCAAAAAGCAAGCCATGGGTCAGTAACAGCCGGGCAGTGAGTTGCAAAATCAGCAGGCAGAAATCAGAGTCCACTGTGCAGCCTGAGGTCACAACAAGCAGGCAAGATCCAGAAGCAGCTCAAAGGGGCAAGTCGGGTCAAACACAAGGCATAAGAACAGCAGGTTGGGTCACAAGTATCAGGAACTAGCTGAAGACCGCTCAGCAATCTGTCAATAGCACACTCCAGTTTATATATACTTGCTAATGCATGTGCGCCTGCAGGTTAACGTGCGCGCCTGCACACATATGCACACCTGCATGTGAATACATGCCTGCCTGTGATCCTATGCACAGACACTCTAGTTGATATATGCCATTGGGCGCTGAGCTTGCATGCCCGGAGGTTAACGTGTGTGCGTCTGCCCCCCTGCACCCTAATACATGCCTGCCTGTGATCCTATGCACAGACACTTTAGTTTATATATGCCATTGGGCGCTGAGCTTGCATGCTAATGCATGTGCGCTTGCAGGTTAATGTGTGTGCGTCTGCACAGTAATGCACACCTGCACGCTAATGCATGCATGCCTGCCTGTGACCCTGTGCACAGGGTCATGAGCCAGAGCACGCGCACATGATCAAACTTGCACTGGTCTTCTGGAGCTGGAATGCACTGAACTTTCCTTACAGTTGCTCTGCTCTCTCCTCCTATCGACATGCTTGTTTTCAGCACATGATCTGTTTGCCTCCTTGTACCGCTTCTTCCCCTCACATTGCAGTCCTGTTATATAGGGACTACAGTAGGCTAATCCCGGGTCAGATTCAGGTACTTACATACGTGGAATGATTTATTAATGATTAGAGATCTGTATTAGGGTATTTTATCACTGAGTTCAGCTTTAATATCTGGCGTTTTGCTTTAGTTTCTACTTTTTTCTTCTGCTTACTCTTTATACTCTTTAAGGTCAGTGACTTTGAAAACACTGAAGCCAGAGGCAGCCATGGGACTGGTATTCCTAGGAGGTCAGTAATTCCAGCCCCCTCCCCCCCGTATTTCTCTCACTTCCTTTAATCTCATACCGGCTTCCTTTCATCTCTCGGGGTCTCTAGCGGTGACCTATCCCCAGTTCTGCAGTGCTGGGATCATTACCAAGGTGTCACTCTCCCCCCCGAGGGGTTCTCCGAACATAATAAGGTAGTAACTGGAGTTACAAGATCCTGACTGCATCCTGCAGGCCTTGGAGGAATAACAAAGTCATTTGGAGAAATGTCCCCATCGAGTCCCCAAGGAGGAGGCGAGAGACTCATATCACTGGGGCACGTCCACACTGATACATCAATTTTGGGGAGAGTTGGCCTTCAAAGCAAAATGAATAAACTTATCAAACAGAAGCAGGTTTGAAGTTTTTATGAGTTCTGCGGTTTACCATCAACAGAGGAAATGAGAACAATGAGAGGAATTTATCAAAACCGGAGCAGACAAAATCTGGAGCAGCTGTGCAAGGCAACCAATCAGCTTCCACCTTTCATTTTCAAAGCCTAACTGAACAAACTGAAGAAAGAAGCTGATTGGTTGCCATAGGCAACTGCTCCAGATTCTTCTGCTCCAGTATTGATAAATTCCCCAAATGTACTTATGTAGGGACAGATCGCTGTCAGCTGACACCCTGATCCATCGCTTGGTGTATAGACATTAATGAGGGCAGAGGATACATTATGGCCGCCATATAACTAGAACACACTGGTGGCCAGGGCCGACTCAAGCCTATGTGGGGCCCTAAGCAGTTGGCTGCGGGTCGGTCCCATTAGCACTTTGTTACACTTTGGAATTTTTGTTTTCTTTCCCAAAATAGCTCAAACTTGTGCGTGTGAACACCCATCAAAATGTGCGCATATGCACGTGGGAAAAACTCGCTATGCGCTTGCGGCCTCATTACCCCAAATGTTTCTATGCCGACATGCTGATGCTCAAACTGCTGCATGAGGTTCTTGGCCACATTGATCACATGTGGGGCAGCCCATTGAACTGATGGGGCTGATGCACAGCAAACGTGGCAAAGCGCATATAAACGCGACGCACGGGGCCTTGGCTCATTGACACCATCACGTTACCGCAATGCACAGTAACACCCCAAACTCAGTGGAATGTATTGGGTGGCATTCATTTTGAATGACACCACAAGGCATATACAGAACGCACCTGTGCTACAATGCACTGCAGTGTACCGCGGTGGTTTATGCTGTAGAGAAGGATCCTTACCCTCTGTATGTAAGCACTGGACTCAATGCTGAGATCCAACACACTACTTGCTGAGGCACAGCTAGGGCACTCCAGTCAGCAGGGAGCATGGGCTTTGCTAAATAGAGCTATACGTCTGATTGAACAGAGGGCATGTAGGACCTCTGCTGCGAGACCACTGCTTCCACACAGAGAACAAGACCTCTCTGCAGAATGCTGGAAGGGGACAGACTTTTCTTTTCTGAAAGCATGAGCTTTGCTAAATGCAGATCTATTAGCCCTTATTCACACGAGAAAAGGCCGGCATGTACAACTCCGTGCTGCGTGCACGGCCATATCGGGCAGCTCCCAGGAAGGATGGGTGCGTTGTGTGATTAGTACGCAGCCCCCATCCTTCTCTATGGGAGTACACGGCCGCACGGACCTGCACTTGGGGTGAACGTAGGGCGGCGTACGGCCGTGTACTCCCATAGAGAAGGAGGGGGGCTGCGCACTAATCACACCTTCCCGGGAGCTGTACCGATACGGCCGTGCACGCAACACGGAGCTGTACGTGCCGGCCTTTTCTTGTGTGAATTGAGCAGGGGGCATGTAGGACCTCTGCTGCGAGACTGCTGCTTCCACACAGAGAACAAGACTTCTTCTATGCAGAATGCTGGAAGGGGAAATACTTTTCCACTCTAAAAGCATGAGCTTTGCTGAATGCAGAGCTATACGTCTGACTGAGCAGAAGGCACGACGGACCTCTGCAGCGAGACCGCTGCTTCCATACAGAGAACATCAGTCGTGCAGCAGGCTTTTGAAGCTGGAATGTGTTCCGCTGATTTAAGGTAAAGCTTCCGTTGGGCTTTAGGACCTGTTCACACGACGTCCGTTTTGTGTCCTGACCTGATCCGTACGCTCCTGCACTAAAAACGCATCCCAATGTATCCCTATGTGTTTTATGGGCCACAGTTCTCACGTGCGCAGTCCGTTCAGGTTACGACAGAAAAATACTGCATGTCACATTTTTGTACGGTCCGAAAAAACGCAAATCGCGTCAAAAACGCACTGCACTGCAGCTAACATACTGACAGCCCCACTCCAGCAAAAAATAAATAAATATATATATTTTTTAAAATGAAAAGCTGCAAAACACATAGCACCGCGTCTGCAGATCCGCACCTGAAACTCATGTGAACAGGCCCTTAAGGAGTTAAGGATCCTCAGACAGGTGCTGCTGAATACGAGGACTCTGAGAATGTAAAGCAGAGACATAAATTCACCGAAACACACGGAAAACAATTTCTGCTGACGGCCTCCCAAGAAGCCCCTCCGGCAGCCTCTGTGTTACATGTTTGTGCCTGTCACCTGAGCACACTATCTGACCCGAGCATTCTGTACGACGCGATAAAAGCACTCCTAAACAGAACCGTGTTTACCGTGTACATAGAGATCGATTTTAACGCGCCGCTGATACTGACAGCCGCCAGGAATTCCCCCACGTGACACACGGGGAGCGATGAACAGGACTGACCTGTCCACCCCATGACTGTACTGGTTGCTGCTCAAACCTTCCACCCAGATCTACAGGAAACTGGATGTAATGCCATTTGCGTGCCCTTCCCTTTTGCCCTAGATCCGGGCGTGTCGCGGCCCCACGGATGGCGTGCACGATGACATACACGCCATCGTTTCGCAAAACTGTAAAAAGATATTATTAGTGCTGCTCGTGGCTTTTGTAAGACGGTGGAGGGTGTGCAGCGATTTATATTGACCAATCAGGTTTCAGATTTCTGTTGTCAGGCGACCAGTGTCGCTGTGTGCTTTGGATTACCGTCATGTATTGTAAATTGGTAATAAAGATATAAAAGTGTCATCATTGACAGGACGCAGGACTTTCTGTTACTGTTTAATGTATT